AGAACAACAACAACATCAACCAAGTGAATTCGAGAGGCAATAACTCACCGGATGTATCGACGGGTGAAATTAAAATAAATACGAAAACCGGCGCGAAATAATCTATGTGTATCGGAAATGTTCGTAAAGGCTTCGAAATTAAAGTAAAAAGTTTGCAAAAAGGCCAACGGCGTTGTTGGAAAAAAGGAACGAGTAGAATTGGGTAACAGTAAAAAAAATTGTATGTTGGATACAGCGTGGACACGAAGTGTGGGAGAAAAGGCGATATATATTGCAAAGGGAAATATTTCATGAAATGTAGCAAGGAATTTTACAACTGTGTAAATTTGCGCCGGAATGTTGATTAATTTCATCTCGATAAATAATAACAGTTTAACAGGTTCACTGGTAAACTAGCTTTTAATATAAATCATCCGCTGCACACTATTCCTACACATCATTTATGGAGGGAAAATACAATTATTTTCCTGTCTACCTCCCATTATTTACTGCTGTATACTAGTTTTTTTTATCTCTCTCTCTACAACTGTGTATGTTTTATAGCCTTAAGTGTCACGGATTTTTGAATTAAGTTTATCCTTATAATCTTACAGTAACTTATCTTCTCCTTTATAACTACTTCATTTCTACTAACAACATTTTCCAACCATTATCTAAGTTTATAATTCCTCAATTTTTTTTTATAGAAGTAAATATACAACAAAAGTTATAAACGAAAATTGATAGAAAAGTTTTATTAACTTTGTTAATTAAAGCATTAGTTTAACAACTTCTAGAAATACTTGTTGCATGTATTCAATAACATGTAGTTTTTACCATCATTTATTCAAGTAAATATTTCAAGAAGAAATAATTAGATTGTAAAGCTTTATTTAAAAATTGTATAATTTCAAGAGATTTAAGTAAATCCAATTCACATTTTTCCAATTTCTGCAGCTCATAGCAGATGCCAATAGACTTGTTGAAAAGGTGAGTTATTCAGCTTTCAAATGTGTGGTCGATCATGTAATTATCTTGGGAGGTTGTCGAGAAATTCAAGAAAAACTGAAGAAAATCGTAAAAATCGTCTATACCCTGTTACGTAACGAACATTACATAACTATTGTTTCATAAAAAGTTGCGTAAGGGTGGCGCACATATTACGCAATTATGAAATGCAACAAAAGTTTATTGCTTTTCGAGTTATTTACGAAAATCGGTTTTTAAGTAAATCCAATTCACTTTTTTTTCAATTTCTGCAGCTCTTAGCACGAAGATGCCAATAGACTTGTTGGAAAGGTGAGTTATTCAGCTTTCAAATGTGTGGTCGATCATGTAATTATCTTGAGGGGTTATCGAGAAATTCAAGAAAAACTGAAAAAAATCGCAAAAATCGTCTATAATTCGTTACGTAACGAACATTACATAACTATTGTTTCATAAAAAGTTGCGTAGGAGTGGCGCCCATCTTAGGCAAGTTATTAACGAAAATCCCTTTGTGTAATAAGATGAAAAAAGGCAAACAGGTTGCTCCATTTTTTTTCTTTCCTTTCTTTCAGACTTCTTGCTTTTGTTCCACGTTATACGTGTGTGCAAGTTAACTATTCAATTATGCATGCGTCGCGTTGAAAAGCGTACTAGAAAATTTGTAAAGTAATTACAGTACATCGAGGCAATTACTTAAATCACCTCGTCGGGCTTTAAATGATTCGCTGGAAGGATCGATTGGATCCAAGGACAACCATGTAATTTAGCAAAAGAAAGTTAACTAATTACGCAATTATTCCTTGCGTGTCCTTCTTCTTCATCATCTTGTTGTGTACTTCTTTTTTTTTTATGTAGCCACGAGGTAATATTAGTTTTGTAATGGCGCTGAAACGGGTCTGAATGAATCGTAACTGTTGATGATCTTAATTAAAACGTGGAATTTTACGGTGAATATAAAGTGAGGGTTCTGGGCGTGTTAAACGAGAGACCTCTCTATTGCGTATTTAGTCCTGAGGGAAAAGGATACGAAATGTAAATACTCGTATATGTATATATATATATTTACTGGATGATGGAGAGAGGAGAGAGGAGAGAAAAATGGGTGGAGAGCAAAAGCGTGGAATATGAGAAAGAACTGTAATCAAATCAACTCCAACTTTTCAGAATGTCACGGACTCGCCTCTCGTTCATCACTGCGGTTTTTATTGTTATTTATTCCCTTATGTTCAGCGCAATATTCCACGATATATATTTTTTTTTTATTACTAATTGAGTCCGTGCACTAGTTTACAGCTTTATTAAACTAGTTTTCGTCGGATTTATTTTCGCCAATATTGTGAAAGTTACGAACGCTGCTTTATTAAAATTATTCTGCGCAATGTGATTTTGTCCGTCTGTTTATTTAGGTCTAGGTATAACACACCCACATAGACCTTTGGGTATAATGAAATATTTAAATATCAATATTTCAATTATTTTGGTTAAATAAACTTAGGAAAAGTTGTTTATATTTATGAAAACAAAATTGACACGTCTATACTTTTCGAATGTCAAATAAAAATTGTCTTTTTACGTTTTAATAATGACGATTTTGTAAATTATAAATAAAAATAAACTCACGGTTTTATCTTGTAGAAGTCCGATGCGGCAGTCAAGAACGAGGGCGGATCCAACCCTTGCGGTGATGTTATGTGGTGCATCGCCACCTTCGAAGAAGGGACCCCAACGTAAATCCGGTAGGTGGAATTTGGGCTTCTCGGTGGAGGAGTTGACTGGTAGAATAATGGCGAATTCGTTCAGTTTCTTGTTGTTTCCATGATGTCTCACGGGTTCGGTCTGTGTCGGGGGTTGGGTAATTGCCTTGGCCAAAGGCCGGTGACGGACCGAAGCCCTTTCGGCCACCTGAGCCTGGGCAAAAGGGCTGGGGACTGGATCGGCCGTGACCTCAAACGAGCTCATCGGGATCATAGTGGCGGAACCATCAACACTTCCTTCGAGGGGAACGTCCTCAGTCGGATAGGTCGTCTCGTTATCTGCAATAGAAGGGCTCCCTTCAGACCAATTCACTTACAGTTAAAAGAGTTATACGCGCGGCGAATGTCGCGAATTCTTTTTCTCTGTCTCCGCACGTCCTTCATACGGAATTTCATTAATTCAAACTCCCTTATTTTTGCATAGCCCGTAATCTCTATCCCTGAAGGATCGTGATTAAGTTATGACAATAATACAGGGTTAGGATCGGATAGACGTTTATTGCACTCACGGTTTACGTTGACAGGCGAGGAAAGCATCCCACCGAGGCAGGAGCATAAAATTCTACAAAGTACTACTTCAATATTTCATACACAGTTTACTAACAAAAGCACCACCATACTTTAACGAGATTTTTATAATATTCGCCTGACAAAACTTCAAAACTTCATTCACTTTATGTACATTAAACGTCATAAATTCATTCAGATATTTAAATCATACTTAGTACTACCAATGAAAAACCGTCTCTTTTATATAACTTTTTACATTTTTTAACAAATTGTTGCACCCCGGTAAGGGTTAAATGATTTATAAAAGTTTATTAAATTATGAATGGGCGAGGGAAATGTTAAATGTATAAAATGATGATGTAATGTATGAAAGTGTACAGCGGAAAGACTAATGAAATGATTAAAACCATCTCTATATATAAGAGAGGAATTGAATGAAACTGAGGCTTCGTGGGAAGAAAACGACAATGGGGTGGAATGAAAATTTCATTATGATAAAAATCGCCTTATCGTGGAATCATCCGAGCCTTTGTCGTTATTGTTTAAAAAAGCGATTCAAGAGGGAGGAAGAGTATTATTCGAATTATAATTATCCGACGAAGGGTTTCGCATTGTCCATTCCAAGAAAGAGGGAGAAACTAAAGAAAATCCTTACAATATGATTCCCTTCCAAACCTCCCCTTACTCGATGTCCCCCCTTTTAAGGGACAACTAAATTGAGATAGTGAAGACTTGTGGAAGCGTAGGAGGAAGCACGAAACAATTCAATCCCATTCCCGTATCAAGAATTGTAATCTGAAGCGCCCATTGAAAAGCCACACTACGCGATTTACGCGATAGTGAGGGAGGGGAATCCCCTTTTATAATTAGAATTGAAAAAGACAGAGGTCGCCTCCCCCTATCGATCTGAGTCTCCTGCATAAACAATTTATTCGCTGCAGAATAACATTGAAATGCTCTTCCCTTCCTGACGTATTTTCAGCACACACACACACGCAGGCAGCCTCCCTTCTCTATTTCCTGGTTCCGGATGTGAGCGGAATACGATTCGCGGATCAATTTTTCAAACTGAAATTATGAAAAACGCATTGTTTTTCTTCTGGCATACGGAAAGCTTGGCACGAAACTGCGATTAAGTTGGTGGATTAAAAACACGACTAGATTAGAGATTACGTAAAGCGAGTAGAAGAAGTGGAGGAATGAGAGATGAACGGAAAAGAAAAACATATTTAAAAAAAAATAAATAAAAATAGAGTAGAGTGGAGCGGTTTTCTGGAATGGTCCGATGCGGCTAAAGTTTGAGCGATGTGCGAATGGCAAAGTAATTCGAAAAGGAAACAAAGGGGACATAAATTTGCAAGTTTGACGTTTGGATTGTGTAATCCTTGTGCATGGCGAAATTTCCTTGCAGTCGGCACACCCCGCCTCTTCTGACCCATAAATAAGGTCGACGAAGAAAACCTCTTTGTCCGGCATCAACGCCACTCGCAACGCATTCGATTCGGTAGCAATCGCAAGCCCGACAACCAAAATACCGTCAATCAAATTCCCGACAACCGAAATCCCGACTGTATTAAAATCCTGACAACCATAATCTCGACTGTATCAAAATCCCGACTATATTGAAAATGTCTACAATAACATTTTTAAATTATTCCGGAGTGTAGTGACTTTTAAATTGTTATTAATAATAATTAATAATCTAATTGTATTTGAGATTATTTCATTATCTTAAGGTTTATTATTAATAATTCAACAAAATCAAATAAATTAATAATTTATTGTTATTACTAATAAAAGTGTAGCACAAGGTGACTACGCTCCGAAATAATTTAAAAATGTTATTGTAAAAATTTTCGATATAGTCGAGATTTTGATACAATCGGGATTTTTATATTATGGTTGTCGAGATTCTGATACAGTCGAGATTATGGTTATCGATAGTCAGTTATGGATAGTCAGGATTATGGTTGTCGGGATTTCGATACAGTCGGGATTTCGATAGACGGGCTTGTGATATAAACCCATTCGATTACGTAACGTCACAATCAATTAGCATTGTTTTATACATAGTTTTCCAATTAATACAACAATTATTCTTTTATATCCATTTCATTATTGAAAAAAAAATGTAAATAATTTGAATAAACTCAAGTGATGTGATTTCATAATATTGAAAATAATGATAGCTTCTTGTAATAAAAGTTTTTCTATTATTTAATCATGTTAATATATTCTAGTTCAATGATTCTCAAAATATTTGGGGGGGTTGGAGAAAAATTGATCAAACCATATGTTTTTTTTACACATTCTTCAGGGGTTAAAGTTTGAGAATCACTGTTCTAGATAATAATTTATTTACAAATAAAATGAATATACTAACATTTTTTAGATTATGAATTAATCTGAAAACAATGTACGAAATCAGTTTTATTGCATGTAAAAGAAAACTGTGGTTGTTTCATTTTAAGTGTTTACTTTTAGGGTTTACCAATAAGCAAGGGTGTTTTACATTCAAAACTGCAATAAAACAAAAATTGTGAGCGAGTGGCGTTTGGTCCGTAATAAAAAAAAAACAGAGTTACGTCATAATTTTTATACTGACATCCACGGTTTACAACTTCCTGTTATTTTTTCATACACCTTCTAAAAGAAGCGGGGAAAACACATGCAAGTATACGATATAAAAAGTGAAGTTTACAGCAATAATTGAAGTTAATTTCAGCGATGAGTTTACCTGAATTTCACATCTACACACTTATATTTATGTTATTTGAATTTCCGAATTCATTTTCAGGCAATATTAAATTTTTCAGCACGTGCGAACAAAAGTTATTGCTTATTGTTCGATAAAAAGCAAGAATGCTTCCTCTTATATATTTTTTTTTATTCTTGTTGTTGTTGCTGATGCGGCTGAACTTGTTGACATTATTAAATGCGAAATCCAATTTTCCTTCTAGCAGCGACTCAATAAACTGGAAGCCAACAACGAAACTCGAAAAAGGGATTTATTGAAAAAAAAAAACGAACAATGATTTTTTAAATCTTGATGAATTAATTTATTAAATTTACTTGAATTAATTACAAACAAATTAATTAGGAAAATTGAATTGTTGAAATTGAAAAATAATAATTTACCATTTTTATTGTCGAATGTCGTTTCCTGAAATACAAAAGGTTTTACTTCTGGTGGATAATCTTCTTGTTTCCTTTTTACAGGAAATTGTAGTCCTGGAATCAACCTGATTTGACTTAAACATATTGTAAAAAAAAATATTATTTCTAAATCTTCTTGTAATTTCTTCATTTTTCTTTGGTGTTCTTCTTTCTTCCTTTCGACAATAAAAATGGTAATATTTACTTTAGAAATTATATGAAATCTTCTTTCTTGATTAATCTTCATTATCCATATTTTCGACTTAGCTTAATCTCTTAATCTTTCATATTAATTACTCTAAATCTTTTGGAAAAATTCAAGCATTAATCATCAATATTTCTTCCATCTTTAATCCTCTAAGTCTCTTGGGAAGATTCATTGTTGATTATATTCCATCTTCATTCTTCTAAGTCTCTTGGAATAATTCAATCATTAAACATCAATTATGATTCTTCCATCATCAAAGTCTTGGGAAGATTGATTGATGGTGATATTATGATTCTTCTATCTTCATTCTTGAGATGAGAGCTCCTTGTTGTAGATATCCTGGGAATGGGAATCCTCTGGAATCACCTGCTGCACTAACTACACAATGAATTGACTTTTGGATGCATGACTTCAAAAACAAACTAACTAACTAAAAGCAGGCGTTTCTTCTTTCATCGATACTGAATCCTTTTACCATTTTTATTGTCGAAGATTTCTGAAATGTTATAATCTGTAAATAACATTGCACATACAAAAATTACAAAGAAAACACAATAAGTTTATCTCATTTTCTACCAATCTTATTGTTATGATGCATTTAATTTTCTATTAATTAATATAAAAGATAAAATAAAATTGATTATGTAATCGGTTCAAAGACAAAGTTGAAATTATATAAAATTAGATTATATAAAAAAAAAAGTTTTATAACGTTTAGTGAACTTTAGAAATACATCAATTTTATATTGACTTCGTTAAATCTTTATGATCCGGAAACTTCTAGTATCAATTTAATAGTTTCAAATATCCGCCTGTTACACGTCCTTCATATTTAGTTTTTTTTTTTTAATTATTTGTCCCATCAAATGTGTATCTTTCCAGGCAGGATATTAATAACAGCAGGATGCAATTTTCGATTCCTCTTTGAGGATGTCAAAAAAGTTAATATCAAATACATTTTCGCATAAATATTTTTTGTCCATGAAGCTTGTCCACAGGCAACCGGAAAAAAAGCAGAATATATTTGTATGTCATATATATGTTTTGTTTGTGGTGCAGTAAATTTATAGAAGAGAGGACTCGCATAAAAATAGAATATTGCGAAGTATTTCCATAAAAAGGAAAAGGGTACTTTTTTTTGCGCTTAATTGTTTCTGTCCGCCGTGGGAGGGCTTCGATGTTGCAAGGGTTATTTTTAGGAATCGGGGGAGGATATGCTTTTAATCAAGGGATGACAAAGCCCTCCCTGATTCAAATGATCCAGTTAATTAATATGCCGTCGCTTTGACAGGTAGAGCTTCCATTATCTACACTTAGTGAGCGCTAAATAAATTAAAGTGAATTTAATGTTTTCCTAATCAGCAATTTTTCAGCAAAAAAAAAGGGTTGAAAAGAAAATTTGCGAGGAATCTTCAAAGCTTTTCCAAATCTAATTTTTATATTCTAATTAGCTACAACTATAACTGATTTTTTTCATTAAATAAGTGCTTTACCAAATGTATTGTATTACTTAGGAAAATAAGGTAGTGTTAAATTTCCCTAAGTAAATAAGCAATTCTAATTAAAGGCATCGATTCCAACGGGATTGAATTCAAATTGGAGAATTCCCAAATTTAAAGGTTTCGGTAATCCTAAGTTAATCAGCTTCACAACTCAAACTATAATAGTAAAGTTTATGTATTTATGTGTTGTTTTAATAATACTTCCGGTTTTTCCGGTAAACTTTATTTATAAAACTATAGGACAAAAGTGTAATTTTTTTTGTGAAATCAATTGTTGCCATTCTGGAA